CACAAGTTGTATTTCCACCGTGAGAAGTTGTTCTAAGTTTCAAACAAGTTTTACTTCCACTGTGAGAAGTTGTTCTAAGTTTCACACAAGTTGTATTTCCACTGTGAGAAATTGTTCTAAGTTTCATACAAGTTGTATTTCCACCGTGAGAAGTTGTTCTAAGTTTCACACAAGTTATATTTCCACTGTGAGGAGTTGTTATAAGTTTCACACAAGTTATATTTCCACTGTGAGAAGTTGTTATAAGTTTCACACAAGTTATATTTCCACTGTGAGAAGTTGTTATAAGTTTCATACAAGTTGTATTTCCACCGTGAGAAGTTGTTCTAAGTTTCACACAAGTTGTATTTCCACTGTGAGAAATTGTTCTAAGTTTCATACAAGTTGTATTTCCACCGTGAGAAGTTGTTCTAAGTTTCACACAAGTTGTATTTCTACTGTGAGGAGTTGTTCTAAGTTTCACACAAGTTGTATTTCCACTGTGAGAAGTTGTTATAAGTTTCACACAAGTTGTATTTCCACTGTGAGAAGTTGTTCTAAGTTTCACACAAGTTGTATTTCCACTGTGAGAAGTTGTTCTAAGTTTCACACAAGTTGTATTTCCACTGTGAGGAGTTGTTCTAAGTTTCACACAAGTTGTATTTCCACTGTGAGAAGTTGTTCTAAGTTTCACACAAGTTGTATTTCCACCGTGAGAAGTTGTTCTAAGTTTCACACAAGTTGTATTTCCACTGTGAGAAGTTGTTTTCGTATATCTGGAGTTGAGCACAAAGCTACACAATTGGATATCTCTGCTGTGCCTACCACGGGTATCGAAACCCACTTTTTAGTGTAATAAGCCTTCAGACTTATCGCTGTGCCACTAGGAGGACCGAAATCAATGGATATCAGTGCATCCCCTCAATAAGTGTAACTTAAACAGCTTAGATTCAATGTTATGAATTATTAATATTATGAATGATATGTTTGTCTCTCTGTTAAATTTTGCTAATCGAGGGCTATCTGCACTAGCCAGCCCTAAAGGTGTATAAAAAGTATAATATAATTCCAGAAAGATGTCAAATGGTGTATAAAAATTACATAATTTTTGTTTTGTAGATTTTGGGATAAAGGAGGGAACCCAAGACCCACAGTTAGGTAAGAATTATTCTTTTATCTGTGAAATAAATTCTATAAAAACAGTAAACTATTCTGAATGGTGTATTTAAGTGTTTTACACTCACAAAAAAGAAACCTATCATTCTATAGGTATTTGAAG